CCCTAGAATGGTTTTCGTCCTACCTGTCAAATAGGAAGTTTAGTGTGTCTGTAAACAACTATGTCTCCTCATTCTGTCCAGTTAAATATGGTATGCCTCAGGGGTCGGTCTTAGGACCCATTTTGTTTTCCTTGTATCTGCTTTCCCTTGGACATATTATCCATAAACATGGCACTTCTTTTCATATTTATGCTGATGACACACAAATATACTTGCCCGTCAGATCCACAGACCCTGGAATGCTGAGTTCACTTAACAACTGCCTTTGTGAAGTTAAAAAATGGATGTGAAATAATTTCCTCCAGCTGAACTCAGACAAAACAGAAATCCTGGTCATCGGGTCCCAGCAGATGGCAAATCAAATACTGCCATCTGCTGGTTCCCTAGTAAATCACATTAAGCCTGTGGCAGAGAACCTTGGTGTTTGGTTTGATAGTAATTAATATTTCGAGCAGCTCACCACAAAGCTTGTTCAATCATGTTTTTAGCAACTTAGAAATATAGCAAAAATTCGATCTATGTTAACTTTTAAGGACACCGAGACCATTTTACACGCCTTCATCTCATCACGCCTGGATTATTGCAACAGCCTTTTCACCTGTTTAACCCAAAAATCTATTGATCGACTCCAGACTGCCCAGAACTCAGCTGCCAGGCTTTTAACCAGAACAAAGAAATATGACCACATTACTCCTATTTTAGCTTCATTACACTGGCTCCCAGTATGTTTTAGAATTGACTTTAAAATTCTATTGATCACTTTTAAAGCTCTTCATGGCCTCTCGCCTTGTTATATTTCTGACCTTTTAGTTCCATACGCACCAGCACGTACCTTGAGATCCTCGGGCAGAGGTCTGTTGTCTGTTCCAGAGTCTCGACTGAAAACTAAAGGGGACAGAGCGTTTGCTGTCAGGGCCCCGAGGCTCTGGAACAGCCTGCCCGAGGAAATCAGGTCGGCTGAGTCGTGAACTCTTTTAAGTCCCTTCTTAAAAACATACTTTTATAGGAGAGCCTTTCCCGATCTTATTTGACTTTATTTTATCCCTTTTATTTTATTCTATTTTACTAATTTTATATTAATCTGTATTTTAGTCTTTTCAATGTTTTCATGCTCTTATCTTGTTTTTTTGTATTATTCTTTACACTTGTTAAAGCACTTTGTAACTTGTTTTTGAAAAGTGCTCTACAAATAAGGATTATTATTATATTATTATTATAATCTGTAATCTCTTTTGTTCCCTGACTTCCCTCTGCAGCTGTACAGGTGCACATCCTGAAGGCAGACAAAGCCGGCGAGTGGTGGAAGTTCACCGTCAACATCATTTCCGTCTACAAGCAGGGCGAGAGCCGCATCCGCCGCGGGGACCAGTTCCTGTGGGTCCGTGCCAAAGACGTGGCCTGCAAGTGTCCCAAGATCAAGCCTGGGAAGAAGTACCTGCTGCTGGGGAATGACGAGGACTCCCCGGGGCAGAGTGGAGTGGTGGCAGACAAAGGCAGCCTGGTTATCCAGTGGAGGGACACGTGGGCGCGCAGGCTCAGGAAGTTCCAGCAGCGCGAGAAGAAAGGCAAGTGCAAGAAGCCATAGGCGGAAAAAGATGGAGTGGATGCTGGAGTGGGAGAGGAATTCAAGAGAAAAGCTGAGCGGGTCATTTAAAAAAAAAAAAAAAAAAAAAAAAAAAAAAAGAAAAGTGAAAGAGAGGCAGACAGAGGACCACGGACAGACAAGAGACTGTTTATGTCGCTGCTTTTTTGTGTAGAAGCATGAAGAGAATTATTTAGGATCATTTGTTTTTCTAGTGAACTTTTGTTGAAGGAGCTCACCCTGCAGATTTGGTTTTATGGTTTATTTTACTTTGAGATTCGTCTCTCTTGTGGATTTGCACCTATTACCAGCATATAAAGTTATTTGTGTTTGTTTTCTTTATCTCAGTATGAAATCATTATATTTGATGTTTAAATTCTGTGGACATTTTCTTCTGGTGCAAAAATAACAGAGAAAAAGCCACTTAATTACCACTGCAATTATGCCTCTGCATGGTTTTCTTATTGAACTCTTAACTAAGAAGCGAGCTTGTTTCATCAAAAGTCTTCACTGATCTGAATGAGGCACAATATTTTCTCCATTAAGAATTGTGCCATAGAAACGATAGTTTGTAAGCCACAGAATGGCAAAGTACCTTTAGCTGTCAATTAGCAGTCATTCCTTCCCCCTGTTTAAATTCTGGTATATCTGCAAGTCAAGAAACAAGAAATCTGTTGTCCTACATTGTTAGCTGCCAGGACTCAAGACTTAGTCCTGACAACTAACAATTTTAGAATATGCAAGTAACAGAAGAGAACCAAGGATAAAATCCAGTATTAACTAAAACATTTTTGACCTGATTAATCTTTAGCATATTTTTTCTTCCCTATTTTCCCCTTCAGACTTGGCTACATTTTGCTGATTCAGTAGTTGTATAAACCTGCATGTTGAACGCTTTTCATTTCAGAGTGCAAAGTTCAATTCATTAACACATCCCGCTCGTGGTACTAATGTTAAAACTATGCTTTTTGCGGGAGGACAAACTACTCTTAAAATCACCGATTTCACTTTCAGTACTTAACTGTGATTTTATTTTTCATTTCACAACTCCGGCAGGAGTTTAACAACTGACTTATAAAAGGACAAGAGGCCAGCCAACTTGATTGTTATAAAAATAGTTATTTCTGGGTAGAGCTAATAGAAAAAATGACAATAAATATGGGTTCTTAAGTGTCTATCAAACAAAATGTCAAATGTTTTAATTCATTTCCTTTACATAGGGACAATAATTACTTGTTCTACCAAAAAATGATTAGAGCGTGAAAGTTACCCAAATTAGGTTATTGTCCTCAGTGGATGCAGCATTATTGTTGTGTAGCTGCAAGTAGTGCGTGTTCTCAAAGGATACTGACAAAGACCCGCACGTAGTATGTCACAAGTGCATCACTGCAAATTATTGTATGATTTATCTCTGTAGAAATGTATTCTTTCATACCAGCTTGTGAAAAAAATTAGCATGAATAACACAAAGGAAGAAAAATATCCTTTTAACTGACTGCTGCCTCTCACTTAGGTAATGTAATATGAGTGGCTACCAACCACTGAATCTGAGAAGGTGCACCATGTTTTGGTGAGATGTTCAATTAAACCCAATCAATGCAGACTGTAGGAAGCAACGAAAATGGGCATAATGAAAAGAAAATAATTTCCTTACCTCTTGTGGTGCAGAAATGAATCCTAATGCAGAAAAAGGAAAATGTTCCCACAAACTGCACCTTGAAAAAGTGCTCGACAATTAAATATATTTTTGAAATCCACCTCACACTGGCTTGTATTTATCTAGAATAATTCCTACAGTGCTATGAGATTGCAGATAAATACCAGTACAGTCCACACACTCTTTTGCAAACACAATGCATGACTGTACATTCACTAAAAGGACACTGTGTGCGACCAGTCAGAGGCTGCAGTCTCCCATTGAGCTGTCACGTTAATTCTCTTCACTTCAACACTTGCACAGGGAGAAATAGGGTGAATTGCAATCACTTGACGCTGCTCGATTCGATACCACATTGCTCATTTATTTGTATGCAGTTCAGTTTGGATTTCTCCAAGGAATGCGTGGTGAAACCACTCGGCTCAGGTTTGTGAAAGCCCACAGTGTATCTGATGTATCATAAACTGGGGTTCCTTTCAGTCCCGCCCCAAAACACTTTGAGCAACATGTTTGATGTTGCTGGCATTTGTTTTTTCACAAGATCAAGTTCAGCATCTTTTAAATTGCCCAACAGCACAAGTAATAATAAAAAAAGAGTTTTAAGATCTTTACAAGACACATGGTTTTAATCTAATAGACTCTACTTCCTTTGTTTTAAATGGTAATCATTTCTGATTCCACTATATCACATCTCCTCATTCGTCCAAGAATTTTCTGAATGGACTGAAATGCCTCCTCAATGATATCAAATTAGAATGGCTTTTTAAACCACCCAAAATCAAAATCACCTGAGTTCAACTGTAAGATAGAAATAACAGATGAACTTGTTGCTGAAGTACTTATCAGTATTTACATTTAGGGTTTGATGGGAGTGTTTTTTATTGTACAATCAATCAAATGATTGTGATATCAGTCCATTATGATGGTGGCTACTGATAACAACATATATACAGTATATTTACATGTTCCTGCCTTTCATTGTTAATCCTACATCATAACATTAGATGTCAATGTTTTTCTGTTTGGCACCATGTAATCTGTATTTGCACCGCTGTAGTCTCTGTAGCCTCATGCTGTAAATTTTACATCTGTCCCCTGAGCTATGGTTTGACAAGCTTTCTGATGAAATGCTATACACATACTTGTCAAAGCATTGCTTTGTGTTCATACTATGAATTGTAAATGTTGTTTAGTTGTCACCATTGCCAAGACTTTTTTGCAATGTTGTTTTACAATGCGTACTAATATATTATGGTTATTATATATGAATATATTTAATGACACAAGACATTGTGGATTTTATTGTCTTTTTCAACTTTTTTTTTTTTTTTTTTTTTTTCTTGTTTCTGGTTGTTTAGATTGTTGCCATTAAAGAAGGAAATAATAACTACTGAACACACCAACCTGGTAGAACTAAATTCAGATTTTCAGTTGAAATAAACTCTTGTTACATTGACAAACTATTTGCGTCTGTTGATGTGAATAAATATTTTTTATTTACGTAGTTAAATTAATAATAAAGCATGTAGTCCATTTTTCTCCATCTACTGGTTGCTATATATACATATACACATAATATTATGAATTATAAGTACAGTTGACTGTCAAAACAATATACAGATTTTGCAATAGAAATATGGATGTGGTACTAGTGTGTTCAAGTTTTGTCCAAGGCCTACCCTAGTTAACGATCATGTTACAAAACACTGCAATCTTGCAGAGTAAGCCGTGAGTATTAACACAGACAGACGGGAGTCCAAGGACTATATACTGAATGTCATTTATTAGAAATTACAAGCTGAATTGATTTACAAGGAAGGAAAACGGCCATGTTAGTAACACAGCCGAGATGTTTGTTTTGGCTGAGTGCTATTCTATAAACGTTATAAAATCCCAAGACAAATGATAACATTACAGCTGCTACAGTAATGCATGGGTAAATACAAGTGAGTGTGAATATTGCAAAGCTTGCGGAATTACTGTACCCAGTGTGAGCCCCCAGCCTAGACCACAGACAGACTTATGAAAGGAAACCCCCTGCTACCTGCGGGAGGTCCTACAGTTGGGTCAACATTCGTCACAGTCCAGGCTAAAAATATTTTACAAACCTCCAAATAATTTAGCTATATTATACACTGTCAATTAAAATAGCCACTTGAGCAATTATTAAAATGGACAGTTTTCATGTATCTTATACATTCAATAAAAATAAAAAAAAGTCTTTGGGAGGGTTACCAATGCCCTTTACCCAACCATCAACTTGATGTATAGAAAACAGCACTGCTAAAGGACTTCAGTCTTTATTTCATATTGCCTTGGCTGGGCAGTCATCATTGACCTTCGTCTCAATGTGAACAGAAAGAAAAGGAAAATCTGATGAGAGACAGTGTTTAAATGAATGAATGTATGCACTTTGGATGGAAGTGTTTTAAACTGGTACTTTGCAAACCAAACTGTCACTGCAGTAGTCATTCAGTCCTTCTGTCCTCGTCCGCTACACAGGCCACACAGCGATCACTACAATGGCTATAAGAAGCAGTATGATCACGACCAGCATCCCTGAAGGAGGAAACATGAGGAAAAAAGGAAATCAGATGGCAAAAGCCAAACCAGTTGTGTTAACTTTTTTCAACAAATACATGAAAGGACCAACACCAACAATGAACTGATCCTAATAACAAGTTCTGCATATCTAAAGCCAGATACAGCTTTCCTCCTAGTCCAAAAACTATTAAAAAAACATATTAATGTCTTACACTTTTGCACAGGGTGAGCATGGCCACTGTAGTTTATTTTTAATTTGATGAAATATTCAAATATTCACAATTATAACCTACAGCTGAAAATAGTTTCCAAACAAATACAAGTACAATGTACAGTACAAGTACCTGTTTGAGTAACATTTGCTAAAAACTACAGTGCCCAGCTGTTTTAGACGTTTAACTAGGCTAGGCATTTACAACAAAAATCAAACTAATACATTTGTAACCCGTTTTTAAAATCTTCTGTAGGAAAAGTTGGCTATATATCCTTCTGCATAGAGATCATTGTGCAGAATATTTATGCAGGAAAAAAAGAAAAAGCTTCACTATGCTCTGAATAAATAGATTTAATGGTCCCGAGCATTGTTTTCAAACCTTTACCTCCAATGTGTCTGACATCAGAAATGACATTTGGCATTTGTATGGACAAGACATTAACTTGTGCGTACCAGATTTATCAACAAAAAAAAATAAAGAGGAAATTTCAGGCTTTGTAGAAAAGACATTCCATTTGCAACTTCAGCAGAAGACTGCTGGTACTAAGTGTTTAGACAGTAGTCTATCATAAAATATTTTATCTTAAATGAACTTTGATATACCCCTTTGTCGTAAAACCTTGGCAATTCAACAAATTCTCTTTAATGTTCAAATGTCAAGTAGCCACAGAACTCCAAACCTGATTAGACTCTGAGAAGGAGGGTCATGCAGCAGACACAAGGGAATACACTTGGAAGAGGTAAGAAGCCTACATACCTCACTACAAATTTTCAAAGTCTTTGATCTAACGCAAGTCCCAAGTGCATATACCCTCACAGCATATCACCATTTTCCTCTTGATGACTTAATGCAATTTACATGCGTTCAACAGCCACAAAGGCTTTATTGCCACAGATTGCACACTGTGATAGGCATATGTTTCTGATTCTGCCTTGAGAGGATAATCATTGTTTTTCACTGATACTATGGAAGCAGAGAAAAATGCAAAAGCTCACTCACACTTCATCAAAGTACTTTACCCCCAGGACCTGAAAATATTACAATTTTTATTATAGTCACCACCCAGTCAAAAAAATCCCTCTCTGCTGTAAAATCCACTACAGGTGGAATTTTCATCCTTCGCAAAAAGATGAACGTCTTTAGGGAATTTACAATCTACTTTTATTGACAATTTTATTGATTTTGAACACCCTACTGAATCTAGTTAAGTGAAATATAAAGCCACACATAACTTCATTCTGAGGGTATTTCTTCTCAAGATTAACATTCAAGTACAAAAACTCAAGATTTCACTGTCATGACCTACTGGGAACCATTATGTTTTTATTACTTTAAACAAAATAAAAAAAAAAAAGTAAAATTCCCCCTCTCACCCCTTGCGGGGTGGTATGTGTCATCCTAAAGCTCGGGTCCTTTTTCCAGAGGCCTGAGAGGATACAGCTCTCAGCTGGTCCAAATTCTGTATGTCTTTTAGGTGATATAAGAGAGAAGGGATGGTGGGTGGCGCATCATAAACATCACAAAACACTCCCTCAGTAGTACTGTATATTCTATGACCTATACCACCAACTATGCCACACACACATAAGATATGGAAAATTTTCTCCAAGGGCGCGTTCACCTACTTTTTCCCCCATTCCATTCCTTCTGGAATGGCACAGGAGTGAAGATTTCAAACAACTGCATCTCTAGCTGGTCTGAGGCGTGTCGACACTCCCCTCACTGACTCAACTTGTCCATTGTTATTTAGCATGCGGCTGGTATTTTCCCTAGCCTTTCACTTTGGGTTTACATTTCTCTCATTCTTTGGCTCTCTCCGCCTGTGTTCCCCTCCGCGGCTTAATTGGTTGTCTTTCCCACAGGGAAAGAGACAGGGCGAGATATAAGCTATGCTGAACTAATTGCTCGCGGTGGTAGTGGTGGTGTGGTGGTCTGATGAAATGTAGGGCTGATGCTGGTTTCTTTGCCAGGATATGGGGTAAGGGGTCCAGATGTCTTTGCACCATTTTTGACTCTTGTCATCCATCTCTTTTTTTTTCTTCTTTTTTTGGGTATTTATGACTGCTTGTCTCTTTCTGTGCATATAGTTAATGCTTTGAACACAGTGTGTTTCTATTTGAGGGGAAGGTGGTCATACATTTGGAAGGTCTGCAGGGCATGCATGTTAGAAGCTATCACTGGTCTAGACAGGACCTCACCTCCTGATAACTTACACATGTGAGCACAATATAAATGTCAAAGTTGGCTCAAATAGTTTTAGTGATAGCTCTGTAAAAGCCTCGTGCTTAAAGCAAATACACCACGCACAAATTTCCAGCAATTATCTTTGTTTGATTGTAAATGATACCAAAGCAACACCCAGTCCACATTAGATTCAGACATCAGAAAGTTCATTCAGCCTGGTCCAACATCTGTCTGCAACTCCACTTGACAACACCATAGCAACAATAGAAATAAAGACTGGGCTGTATAACATATGCATATGTTAGTGTGGAGCAAGGCTTTCACACCTTCTAATGTCATATAACAGTCATGAAGCCACATTAGACAACGCACTGACCCTCACCCTCCTATTCATCTTGGACCAACCCTGCCTGCCTCGGTAACTAAACAAGCCACTCCTGACCTTCAGGAGGCCTCCAGAGACCAATGACAATAATGCTGTTTGCTTGCCAAATAGATTAGGACTTTGGTGTGATACTGAGGGAGGTAGTTGGTGTCTGCTAATAGACTGACCACCCAGGATCTTTGGGGGCCTGGGTCTGGGTCCATCCCATCTTAGCAATTTTCATCTAAGTCAGTAAGACAAATCACAGAGAAAACGAATAATTGGTGAGAGCCCTGGACAGACCGAGACAACCCCTGAACCTCCCCTCACTACTCCCTCCGTGGCCCCTGTTTATGGTTCAAAGATTCTTTTGAACCACAAAAGGCAAGGATGACCTTTAAATAGAAGGGACATATTTTAGGTTAGCGTGATGCTCATCATTTTTCACACAGCACAATTGAAGAGGACAAAAACGTTCAATGTTTTTTGGTTGCAATTACTAGATACACATCTAAACATATTTATTTCTTAATAATTTCTAATACAACAGACAACAGAAATAGTGTGAGCATTAAGTCTGAACCCAACAAGACTAAGAGTATGTAGACAGTGATACAACTTATGAGACACGCCGTGCCATACCATACCATGCAGTGGATATAAGGCAAAAGTTATAACACTTTATCCTGAGGGGCACATGAATGCCTCTACTAAATCTCATAGCAATGCATTCAATAGTAGCCGAACCTCACGGTGGCGCTAGAGAAAGAGCAAGGGGATCAAAAGAGTCAGTAGGATTCATCCTTTGAGAACCATGAATTTCTTACCAATTTTGCGCTATTCTATCTCATAGACTTAAAGATATTTCAAAAGTGCTGCTGGTGGGGCAAGAGAGAGTCAGAAGATCACCAAAGTCAGTAGGATTCATTCACTAGGCACCATGAATGTCTATATCAAATTTCATGGGAATCATCCAATAGTTTTTGAGATATTTTAGTCTGGAGTGGTGGACAGACCAACCAACCAACCAACCAACCTTGCAATCCAGAGAGCAGTTGCTAGCATGCCGAAAAATTATTCTTTGATAATTATATATTTTCGTATATTCTCTTGTAGCCATGCAAATTGCCTCACTAGTTTAACAGTAAATTAATGAAGAAATATAATTGAGATTAAAAAGATATTGAGCTGGTAGATGAAACCACATGGTATATATTTTTGGTGGGAGCAAAATAACTAGCAATAAAATGCTCTCACTGAAACCCAGGCAAAAATGAGATGTGAAAAGGGTTTTAAATATTTATAGATTTCTCAAGGCAAGATTGATTCAACTTGCCAATCACCGAGAGGAATCTCAGATGTGGAAACGTCATTAGAAGGATTCAGAAGGATTACTTTAAACAGTCCTCAGTCCCAATGCTTACACACAAAACCGAGTGCAAATGTCTGATGATTAATGTTGATAATCCAACAGTGAAGAACATTTTTCAAATTCTGGAAATGTTTCCAGCTTTTAGCCCAACTCAGGTCTGTAAAAACTAAGATGTCACTGAGATACCTACTGACAGTTATGTTCAGCATGCTCTCGCCTGTCAAAGCCAGGGGCTTCAAGCTTTACAAGGACTCGGGTGAGACATAACACCAAATGCCGGCTTTGGATGAGAGGTGGTTTAAAAAATAAATAAAGCCTTAAAGCTCAGGAATTATAAACATGCTGCCATGGAGAAAGAGGGAAAGACCTCCAAACAATTTGTGGCATGTAGTATTTTCAATTCTTTCTCTGCTTGACACAAAGACGAGTGTCAAACAACTAGAGATGAACAAGGGGATGACAGAGAGGAATGGGAAAAAAGAGAGCATTGAGGTGAGAGTGAGAAGGACCATGGGGAATTTTCCATTTACAGAAAAGGTCTGACACACACACACACACACACACACACACACACACACACACACACGCATAAGAACAAACAATGTTTAAATACAGTTGCACATATTTGCATGGACACTTCTGCACTACAAAAAAAGCACCATACACACATAGATACATGTGATGCATATGCAGGTGCACACAGGCAAACACACGCACACACATGCCCCATGAATATTTTTCAGCCTAGAACTGAGGAGTGGGGGTAGGAAGTTGGGGAGGGGGAAGTCAAACAAAGAAAAAAAAAAAAAAAGACAGAAAGAATGAAAGAGTCCTGATTCAAACACAATTTGAGCTCTGGGATCTTCAAACAAACTCACGCTCGGGCACCATGGGGACATGACCAACAGAACGAAGCATTCTGAGGGCTGACCTTCCTACTCCCTGCTCTGCTTCTGTAAGACTGCCTGTTAGCCAGGTCTCCTAGCACAATAATGCAGCTTTTGCAATAGCAAAGCTGTCTGGCGTTTCACTGGGCAAACTGAGCCTGGCTCAAGCTCCCACATTCCAAAGATTGGCTTTAGGCAGCTAACACACCTCTCATGGCAGCCTTTTTCCTCTGAAAAGCATTACCCAGTGAGAAAAAAAAAGAAGTCTTTTTGGAACTGACAAAACAAAAGTTAAACAAACTGAAGCATGTCTGTGGCAACAGCGAGGGAGGATCATGCATTCACAAAGCTTCTCTCAGTGAACAACTTAACTCACCAAAATCTGGAGCTGAAACAACAGAGGCTGATGACTCATGCTGTGTCTACACAGGAGGCGTAGCGTGAGCAGCACATTTGCAGAGCAGCAGCCTCAGTGCCCCGCGTGCGTCTACACAGGATGCGTTCAGGCACAATAATGAGTTATAGGTTGCGTTCTGGCAGCCCGCATTGCCCAACAGACAATCACTGTAGTTAGGCACGTAAAACGGAAGAAAATACAAAACTTGAAGTGTAAAAATAGGTCTTCAGGTTTACATGCATAAAGTGCAAGTGAAACACAAGCAGTTATACAGTATGTATAGAGAGCTAAAACAGGAGTGTTCATCAGAAGCTCGTGAGACAAATGACAGGAAAAGCGCTGGAGAAACGCCTCCTGTATAGACTGCCACTGGGGTCCTAATTTGCAATCTTGAGTAAATATTTGAAGATTCCTCAAATGACTAGTATGTGAGACCTTGTATTAATGCCAAGGACACTATGTTAGCAGGCATGACAGACAGAGCCAGTCCACCCACCATTCACCACCCACAATCTCTGTGCCAAGAGGGCTTGTCCCCATAAGGATAATATTTTCTGCTCCATTAATCACCATTCTTTCTGGAGATGAAAGCCAAGTCAAGAACAGCATCAACATTGCTCAATTTCTGAATAGTAAAAATGTTTCTGTTTTTTTTGTTGTACTCAACATAATGGGCCCTGTATGTCAAATGACATATTGTCTCACACCAGACAGAGTTATTTACTCTATAAAAGCTATAATCTGTTAGACAAGTGCTCTGTGATCTGCAGAAAGAAAAAAAACCTGATGCTTGGTAATTATTCATAGAAATAAATAGGTTAGTTGTGATTTCTTTTCAAGGACACAGATCAGGCCTGCTTTGGTTACTAGACCAAGATGCTTCATAGTAAAGTAAAACAAAGAAGGCTCACCACAAGAGGCTGACTTTGTCTCCACCAGCTTCACCCTTCGCGTCTCATTACGAATCCTGTCGTCTGTCTTGTCCACAAGATGTGAAAGGTCGTCTATGATTTCTGAGAGACAAAGAAAGAGAAAGAAAAGAGGAGAGAGAGGAGAGAAGGTCAATAAAATTAATTTCTGCTCTGCATTATGCTGCAATCTGCCCTTATTAAGACTCCTTAGTGGTTTTTTTCCCCATTTTATTACACGAAAGACCTCCCAATATGTTTTGTGTAATAAAAGAAATCACATGAAATGAAAAAGTGACAGGTCCCGCTGGACTTGACATCAGAGCAGTCAAGAACTTCAAAAGGCAGAGGCTGCCAACACACAGACAGCGTGCAAGTGGTGGTAATGGAGGGAGTGGGCTGTGTGAAAGCACCCCTTGCGCTTTCAAATGGTTTCACTACTTCCTGAATCCATTCTGGATTTAATCAGGCCCTTATTGTTCTTGTGTTTTAAAGACGTAAGCTTAGGCTTCAAGGACTATGCCTGGGCATCCAAAGAAAGAGAATGTGTGTTTTGTGAATGTATGTGTGTGTGTGTGTGTGTGTGTGTGTGTGTGTGTGTTTGGCTCTGTGGCTAGGGTCCTTCAGTAGAGGTTCCTGACTTGAAGGTCATCCAGATGAAAGCTTGTGTGATTTGTTAGAGCTGGCCACTGTGTTGACATGGTATCTCCAGATGTCTGGCACTAACAACCAAAACAGATAACTGCTTTTAAGGTTATGTGTTAAAATGTAGTTTTGGTTAGAGATAATATTAAAGTAGAGTTGTGGTTTTGAGTCAGAAATGGCAACTGCACTGACTTATAAGTTGGCGGAAACAAATATAAACTAATTTAAGCATTACTTCATCAAATCTGCATATTAAAGAGGGGTGTAACACAACAAATTTAAAATGTAAACATCTTCCTGTTAGGGAAATCTATCAGTCTCCAGTGTACTATATATACGAACATTAAGAAATATGAGCAAAACATTCACAACAACATGGCTCATTACTCTTTTAAATCAGATTTATTGTGATGCAGAACTCAAATTGGCCGGTTCATCTTGAATGTGTGAGTTTCGAGATTTAGAATTTTTTTTTTCTACTAAAATGACGATCATTGGTCCTGTCCAGTAGCCTTCTAAATTGCAAAAGACAAAAAAACAAAGAAAAAAGATGTGGATGAACAATAAAGAGGCCAGTTATAAAGAAACCGAGAAACCAGAAAAGGAAGCACAGACAGGTATCAGACAGCCTCTGATGAATGCTTGTTGTACAGGAGTGGGAAGCTAGACTCATCCACAAACCACAGCCCAGTGCCAAGTTAAACAGACTGTCCTGTCTATGAAGCCAGCAACCCTGTGTTGCTGCCGCTATATGGCAAAATACTAGTCGGTCATTATGATCTAAGCTTTTATGTAGTTCTCAAAAAACCCACAGGCAAGTGCTCAGGGTCATCGGCAGCATTTGTCTTTGTGAGCACAACTGTCTTTAGCTACAGTTGCCTTTAAAGTGGATTGGTGAGAAAACATGTTTCCTCAACAAGGAGCCATCACCGTTTGCCAAGACAGTCTGTGTTTTGGCTAACATCAGATTATTAAGTTGTGCAAAAAATTAGAGGAAGGAAAGTAAAACACGCCAGTTTGGAGGGTCAGAGTGTGAAGGGGCAAGGACAAGGAGATGAGAGACGTGAGAGCACCGTATGTACAGTGTCCCTCAAGACTCCCACATCAAAATCGAAGCATCAGGCAACAATTTAGAAGGAAGAACCCCTTCCTTTATTGGCAGGGAAGGGGTGTATACACTAAACCATTTGTGCCGCGTGCCACTCCAACTAGTCATAAAGGATGTTTTTGATTTTCTGGTGCCAAGTTTCTTGATTCAGTTCTGGTCGTGCAATAACATCTCAATCCACTGATGAATTCTCAACCTTTTCAATATGCAGTAGTGCTAGGACATGACTACAGCTGCAATGAAATGCTGAATACACTACAAGGCATTGGCTTTTCTCGTGCATAGTCCTCCAGTTCACCCTGTTATCAAGTCATGTTTCTGACAAAATAATTCTCAATTTCCTATTGGAACTGTAGCTTACATGTATGACAGCTGCTGGCCCTGGCTTGGATCTGCCAGACCACAAAGGACGCCCTATTTCAAGCAAGGATTGTCTGTTACACTGGATAATCCTCCAAAGCCACAGTGTGGGAGAGAAATTTGCTTTAAGTTGTATTGATGTATGCTTATTTGGCCTCTAAATCATCTTTTTTTAATTAAAGTACTGTACTTTAGATTATTTGAAAGATGGATGGGAATATGAATTCTGATTATTTTTATAGTCTTATTTTTTCAAATCATTGCCGGTTACTGACAGCATTCATCTTTGGAGCTACATGTTCCTAAAAGTTTGCAGTATAGTGACATACAGTATCTCACAAGAGTGAGTATACCCCTCACATTTTTGTAAATATTTGATCAAATCTTTTCATGTGACAAGACTGAAGAAATGACACTTTGCTACAATGTAAAGTAAGTAAGTGTAAAGTGAGTGTACAGCTTGGAAAGCAGTGTAAATTTGCTGTCCCCTCAAAATAACACATCACACAGCCATTAATGTCTAAACTGCTGGCAACAAAAGTGAGTGCACCCCTAAGTGAAAATGTCCAAATTGGGCCCAATTAGTCATTTTCCCTTCCCGTTGTCATGTCAATTGTTAGTGTTACAAGGTCTGTGTGAATGGGGAGCAGGTGTGTTAAATTTGGTGTCATTGCTCTCACACTCCCTCATACTGGTCACTGGAAGTTCAACATCTGAAAAAAAAGAATTGTCGCTCTACATAAAGATGGCCTAGGCTATAAGAAGATTGCCAAGACCCTGAAACTGAGCTGCAGCACGGTGAGTGGGCCTCCCCATGGTCATAGGGCTGGGCAATGTGGCCAAAAATGTTATCACGATAAAAACATTTCATATCATTTGATATCGATAATTATCACGATATGTCAAATCATTATTTCTTTAAAGTTTAAAGGCTGATTTTTGCTCCTGAGAGAAAACTGAAGAAATTTTCTTTATGGTCAGAATGTGACCGAATGTGACAAACACTTGATGCCAAACAGTGGATCACTTCACAAATCTCAGGTAGAACATTCAAAACTATTATGATAAAATATTTTTCAACAAATATGATTAGTGAATCTTTTTTCAGTCCCTTTTCCTCAACAAAATAAATATTTTTATAGAAAAAATCAAAGGCTAATTTGTATGTGATTCAAATAAATTAAAAAAATATTTATTGACGATATATTGAACATTTATTATATTGACATTGAGGAAAATTATATATTGCGATAATTATCATTATTGTTCTATTGCCCAGCCCTATATGGTCCACCAAAAAAGTTGAGTGCACGTGCTCAGCATCATATCCAGAGGTTGTCTGGGAAATAGACGTATGAGTGCTGCTTTGCTGCAGAGCCTGTCAGTGCTCAGACCATACGCCGCCCACTGCATCAAATTGGTCTGCATGGCTGTTGTCCCAGAAGGAAGCCTCTTATAAAGATGATGCACAAGAAAGCCTGCAAACAGTTTGCTGAAGACAAGCAGACGAAGGACATGGATTACCAGAACCATGTCCTGTGGTCTGATGAGACCAAGATAAACTTATTTTGTTCAGATGGTGTCGAGCGTGTGTGGCAGCAACCAGGTGAGGAGTACAAAGACAAGTGTGTCTTGCCAACAGTCATGCATGGTGGTGGGAGTGTCATGGTCTGGGGCTGCATGAGTGCTGCCGGCACTGGTGAGTTACAGTTCATTGAGGGAACCATGAATGCCAACATGTACAGTGACATACTGAAGCAGAGCATGATCCCCTCCCTTCAGACACTGGGCCGCAGGGCAGTATTCCAACATGATGACGACCCCAAACACACCTCCAAGATGACCACCGCCTTGCTAAAGAAGCTGAGGGTAAAGGTGATGGACTGGCCAAGCATGTCTCCAGGCCTAAACCCTATTGAGCATCTGTTGGGCATCCTCAAACAGAAGGTGGAGGAGCGCAAGGTCTCTAACATCCACCAGCTCCGTGATGTCGTCATTGAGGAGTGGAAGAGGACTCTAGTGGCAACCTGTGAAGCTCTGGTGAACTCCATGCCCAAGAGGGTTAAAGTGGAAAATAATGTTGGCCACGCAAAATATTGTCACTTTGGGCTCAATTTGGACATTTTCACTTACGGTGTACTTACTTTTGTTGCCCGCAGTTTAGACATTAATAGCTGTATGATGTCTTATTTTGAGGGAACAGCAAATTTACAGTTATGCAAGCTGTAAACTCACTACTTTTTATTGTAGCAAAGTGTCATTTCTCTAGTTTTGTCACATGAAAAGATATAATAAAATATTTCCAAAAATGTGAGGGGAGTACTCACTTTTGTGAGATACTTATTATTCATAATAGTGACTCACCTTAATAACTATGCAGCTTATTAAGCATGTCCCTTTCAGAATGCTTTTAACAAAACACACAGAGGAATGTAACAGAATTTCCTTTTTTATTTGACACGCATCAGAAATAAAGAAATCAAAATAAAATGCTAAACGGTAGTGAAGATATATCCAAGATTTTAAGAGAAAAACTTTGACCAAAAAAGTCTCCTCAGAGCTCTGTCTGTCTCCACTGTGGACAGTGAATGAATATATATCAGCATTCTAATCAGATGATTTTCTTTGCTATAGAAGAGCTCGAATATGCCCTATTCTAATTATATCTACTGCATGTACAACACAAGGCTATTAGCAAGCTTTCTTTGGGCCCAGGGACTCATTGCCATAGTCTCTGTTGTTTTCTTTTCATAACAAACAAAAACAACAAATGAAAATAAGCAAATGGTTTTGTGAACGGTCATTGTAAAAAATGGGAACAATTATTTGGCAGCCAAGAGGCAGAGTTATCAATATAGTGACTGGCAACAATCTTGTAGCTCCAATGGATAATAGGCAATCCAAGTTCAGTTGAACCACAGGTAGCACAATCAAAAGAAACCTTTGACTTTCTGTCCATAAATGGTACTGGTATATCTTTTCATGTAGGTTT